GCCTGCTTCTCCCTCTCCCACTCCCCCTGCTTGTGTTCCCTCTCTCACTGTGTCTCTCTCTGTCAAATAAATAAATAAAATCTTTAAAAAAAAAACAACTGTTCATCATAGCAGCACCAGATGTAATAGCAAAAAAATGCAAACAACCCAAATGTCCATATGGAGTCAATAAATAAATAAATTGTGGCATATTCATGCAATGGGACACTTGCTGCCAACACTTAGGATCTGTATAAACTTGGGAAAATTAATCTCTCTGTGCCTTAGTTTTTTAATCAGTAAAATGGGCATAATACCTGTCTCTACCTCATAGTGTTGATACAAGGACCATCATTATTCAAGGTTCTTAGAACAGTGCCTAGAACACAGCACATTCTCTCTGTAAACACTGATGTTAAGCTTCCTTGGCTCATGCCCGGAGAGATCCCCTCCTGATACTTGACCACACTTAAGTCTCTCCACTTGATTCAAGCAATGCTGTCCTGCTGCTCTCCCCACATCACCTGCTGTTCTGCCCACAAAGCAGCTCCAGACCTCACTGGCCACAGCGGGGCTTGGGACAGAGAAGAAAATGGCATTTCAACCCACCCTGCCGTGTCCTCCAAAGGTCTGTATCTCAAACCAGAAGAACCCAACACAACCAACCTCTCATACCAGATTCCCATTTCATAGAGGAGGCAACTACCATTCAGGGAAGAGAACTCTCTCATCTAAAGTCGTCCTGCGGCAAGAAGCAGAGACTAATCTTGAACCCAGCTGTCTGTCCCAGGCATGAACCAGGCTGCCTCCAGAAGGTGCTAGCGCCCTGAAAGGGGCCCAGACCGGCTGGACACTATGGCCACACTTGCCCACGCCCCACTCAGCCCTGGCCTCGACCACCTGTCCGTCCCTGTCACAGCCCCGGCTCCATTCTTCTCCTGCATCTGGCACCAGTTGCCATAGCAACGGGCTCTTTGGGAAGCTGCACCGCTGAGCCAAGGATGGGGCCTGGAGGAGGGAGCAGCTGTGGGCTCCTTCAATCAAGGCAGGTGGGCACCTGGTACCACCACCGAGCTCCAACAAGCCCCTCGAACCGCTGCAGGCCCCTGAATCCCAATTCTGGCCATCTGGCCCAAATAAATCATTGGAAATGGGGAGAAACCAGATGCACAGGGATGTTCACTCCAGCATTACTTAGAAGAGCACCCAACTGTATATGTCGGTAACAGGTAACATTTTTGAGTGTTTATCTTGTACAAGGCACTGTGCTAAATACCAAACACATGTCCCCTCATTTGCTCCTCACCACCCCCCTGTCAGGTAAGTACTCTCCACACCCCCCAGTTGGCCGATGAGGAAATGATGTTCAGAAAGGCAAAGCCACTTGCCTAGGTCAGTGGGACAGAGGCAAAGCCAGGACTGAAGGCCAGTCTGCCAGCCTCCAGGTTTCGTACTCTTAACTACATGACGGCGGTCGGAAAGGAGAAAAGGAAGTCCCGGCCCATCCTCTGGTCCTGGCAGCGCCTGTGGCCGTGACAAATGTCTGCAGCCTGCTGTGATACAGGGCTCAGAAGAGGCACAGATTCGGCAGGGCAACATGTACCTACTCAGAAGATCTCCAAACACTATAACGCTTGAAAAATAAAGTACAAATCCCAGAACAATGAAGCGTAGTATGAGCTTATTTATATATGGACGATACAGAGATCTAGATGTTCAGAACAAGGGGGCTGGAGGGACTCCAACTGTGAACACCGATTATCTCCAGACGGAGGGCAATGGGGCCTGGAAGCATTTAAAGGGACTTCCTCTTTCTGTGTTAACGAATTAATTGTGAAAAAAAAATTTTTTTTAAGAAAACTCTATGCCCAAAGTGGGGCTTGAACTCACGACCCCGAGATCAAGAGTCACGTGCTGGGCGACTGGGTGGCTCAGTAGGTTAAGCGTCTGTCTGACTGTCTGACTCTTGATTTTGGCTCAGGCCATGATCTCAGGGTCATGAGATCAAAACCCACGTCAGGCTCCGCGCTGGGTGTGGAGCCTGCTTAGGATTCTCTCTCTCCCCCTCCCTCTGCCCCTCTCCCCAACGCTCACGTGCTCTCTCTCTCTCTACATCCCAACTGAGCCAGCCAGTTGTGAAAATTTTTTTAAATACCAAAACCAAGTTCTACATTTGACACACGTGGTCCTATTTCTAGGTGAAGAAAAGATATGTATGCACAGGAAAGAGATGAGAGGAAGGACATACCAAAAAGTTGGCATTTGGAGTTTTAAAAATTCCTTATTTTCTATGATAAACACATACTAATTTTTTTTATTAAAAATTGGTTTTGAGTGATGTTTACAAAAGCAATGTAATAGCATTCTCATGCAACTGTAACACCGAATCGTGGTACGTCACAGACAAGCTCATTTGTTCCAATCCCCGCTCTAGGAATTTGCTGTTTGGCCTTGGTCATTTCACCTCTCTGAGCCTCAGTGTCCACATCAGTAAAATGGGTAGGTATCAATAGCCTCTACCTCATCGGGTTGTTAGGAAGACAAAGTGTTTAGTGTAGGGCCCAGCACACGGTAAGCAGGCTAGATACTCTCACTACGGTGATGCCAACAGGGAAGCAGCACAAGCAGGCAGTGCGGTACGCTCTCAGGACAGACCGCCAGCCTTTATGCACTGGCTCCGTCGCTTACCAGATGTGTGACCTTGGGCCAGTCACCTTACCTCTCTGGGCTTCATGTGAATATTCAATCAAAAGTGCCTAGCACAAAATACATATTCGATGAATGTGATAAAAAGTCCACTATGTGAGAAGGCGACACCTTCTGCCTTGTATATAAACATGATAGCTACTGGGGCACCTGGGTGGCACAGTCCGTTAAGCATCTGACTTGGCTCCCACTCAGGTCATGATCTCAGGGTTTTGGGATCAAGCCCCGCATCGGGCTCCATGCTCAGCACGGAGTCTACTTGGGATTCTCTCTCTCTCCCTCTCCCTCTGCCCCTACCCCTGCTCGTGATCGTGCACCCTCTCTCTGTCTCCCTAAAATAAATAAATAAAATAAAATCTTTTAAAACAACATGTTAACTATTATTAATAAAATAACAATTTAGTTAAAGAACAATGGAGAGAGAAGTAGTGAATACAGGGGACACGGCTGGGCATTGACTCTCTTGCTGTGTGAGCTTGGAGGAGTTTGTTAACCTCCCTGAGCCTCAGTTTCCCCATCTGGAAACATGGAGCTAATGCCCATCTTACAGGGCTATTAACACTAAAGGAAACACAAATTTAACATAAATTAAGTAATTTACTTTGTGCGTTAGGCAGTGCTAGGCACATTATTTTACACCATCATCTCACTTAATCCTTAAAACAACCCCCATTAAATTGGAATTAGTATCCTCTTTTTACAGATGAGGAACTTAGTTTAAAAAATATTCCAAAGTCACTCGGCTAGGAAGTGGACAGAGGCAAGATTTGAACCCAGGACTCACCAATTCCGAAAGCTAATGAAACCTCATAAGATGTCAGCAAATGAAGTTCATTTTCTCTTTCCTGACATGGTGGGTCTCAGTTTACTCACGTATAAAATGGGTGTGAAGGATAATGCCCACTAACAGCCTCTCTAGCTTATTAAACTCCACTGCCAAGCCTGGTGTTAAGACCGGCCAAGTCCATCCTATCCCAACTTCTCAGGCTCAACTTACCAGTTTGGGGAAGCTTCCTGGGCGGGATTCCTCTGGCCGGTCCTGGCTGGAGTCGTCTGCACTCCTGTCTGCGCCCTGTTGCTGGACACGGGGCACTGGGCCTCTCCTCGACCTCTTAGCATACTTGGATCTTCTCTGTCCCGTGGATGGGCCTAAGTGAGCCTTGCTGGTTGCAGGCACCAAGGAGCTGGAGGGTCTGTCAGTGGGAGCAGGGGGACCTTGTCCCAGCCTCCCCCTGGACTCTGGCTGAGCCTTGACCTCCAGCTCGGTCTGACTGGGTGAGACAGCAGGGTCATCATCACAGCCAGCCCCGGCTCGGGGCTCAGCTTCTTGCCACTCTGTGGAGGCCGCTCCCAGGCACAGTGCAGAGCTCTGTGGAGGATCCCAGGCAGCTGGCCTACGGGACTCTCCTCCATCAGGCAGTGGGACCCCGAAAGGATCACAGGGGCTGCCTGGCTGGGCCCCGTTCCCCGCAGCAGGCAAATATTCGAACTTTTCAGTCCCTGAGACACATCCCACACAGGTTCCACTTGGATCTCCTGACCCAGACCCCTCTCCCTCCTTGGGAGAGAGAGGACCGCAAAGGTCTCCCAAGGACTCCAGGTCAGCACATGGTGGGCTGCCTCCCTCACACGGGGGGTTGTCCTCACCAGGGCTCTGACCAGACCACAAGAAGCCATCTGCCCCCTCCCCACCCTCTGAGCGGGCCGCATACTTCCTGTTGTTCTTTCTTGCTCCCACAGGGGCTGGGCCCAGTGAGGATGGTAGGCTCCTTTTGAGGGGCTCCTCTTTGCTGAGGGTGGGGCCTCTTTCATCACTCCTACCTACTCTGGCCTCTCCTGGCCCGGTGCAGCTCGTCGTCCCCACCCCGGCCAACCTCTCCCGGCCAACCAAAGCTCTGTCCGGGAGACCTACAGGCACGCTACATGGGTTCCCGGGCCAACTTTCAGTGAGGATGTCGTGCAGAGAAACCTGGAGCCTCTTGAAGGCCCGAGCCTTCCCCTGAGCAGGCACTATGGGCTGCTGGAAGTGGAGCTGGGGGCCAGGCACCAAATCCTGGCTTTGTCCCACGGCTTGCAGCTCCAGGGCCATCGAGTGGGCCTCAGCCTCCAGGCGGGCCCCAGGAGCACCCCCAGCCTGGGAGCGGGTACCTCGATGGGTCTCTTTCCTCAGGACCCTCTTCCTGCTGCCAGCCCGAACTCGGGCCCCAGGGCTCGCCCCCGGCACGTGTGGTGTCAGGCCTGACACAGAGCTGGCTTCTTCCACATCCTCCTGGAAAAGCTCACCGCCACGGCGGGGACTGAGGGCAGGGTCCTCTGTGCTGGAGCCCTCTGCGGCCCCCTCCTGAGACATGTCTGTCTGCCTACAGGGGCCAGAAGCAGGACGCAGCCCCTGTGAGGAGACAGACAGGAGACTGCATTATGCCGTGTCTGGCTGCCAGCCCATTCAGGACACCAGGCCAGAAAGCTGTCTCCCTGCCAGGGGGTAGGCCTGGAGGCCACAAGGACACAGCACCCAGTCATGTAAGCACCCCAGCAGGGCCCGGGGCCCCAGGGGAGGCAGGGGAGGCCTGCCACCAAACAGGGTTGAGCTACAGCAACCCTTGAGGTCTTCTCGTCTGCGAGGGGCCCCACTTTTGTTTAAACGGGATGTAATAATAACAGCTGCCATTTCTTAACTACCTACTATGTGCATTATTTCATTTCATGCCGGCAGCCACAGGTGAGGAAACTGAGCCACACGGATGTTCAGTGAGTCACCAAAGGACACACCGGAGTGGAAGAGCGGGGATTCTCTCCCGCACCGAAAGCCCAGCTCCTAACCACTGGACGGGGAGCAGGCAGCGAGTGGGGTAATTCCCCTCACCCGGATCCCGCTCCCGTGGATACCCCCACCAGGTTCCCAGGCCTGACCGGGACAGACCCCTACCGCCCAAGCCGTCCAGAAGTTCTCACCTGGGCTCCCAAGGCTCCCCCGCCCAGGCTTCCACCCCCGAGCTGGGCAGGAGCTGGGGTCACGTGAGGGGGGAAGCGGGGGAGGGGGGTGAGAGACGGGGGCGGGGCCTCGGAGGAGGCGCTGAGGACGGCACGCCAGGCGTGCTGGCGTCCTGGCACCGGCAGAGGGCGCGCTCTCTCTCCCGAGGGCTTCCCGGCGGAGGTGCCAATCCCTTGGGCTTCCGGGCAGGGGTAGGTGGGCGCCTGAACCAGAGGGCGGAAGCGTTGAGGGGTCTTTTTTTTTTTTTTAAAGATTTTATTGATTTATTTGACAGAGTGAGAGAGAGAACGAGGAGGGGGGAGGGGCAGAGGGAGAGGGAGAAGCAGGCTCTCCGCTGACCAGGGAGCCCAACGTGAGGCCTGAGCCCAAGGCAGATGCTTAACCGCTGAGCCATCCAGGCACGCCCAGCAAAGACTTTACATGCTGTATTTATCAGACTAGAATACAAAATATGTGTAATATGTTCAACAAAACAAAATAGGGAGTCGAACATATGAGTGCAGGGCAAAACAATATTAAACAATAACCAAGAAGATTTGGTTGGGAACCAAACACAACTTCTGGAAATAAAAATATGATAATCATGAAAATGTAAGACTCCATATCTAGGTTTGGTAGCCTATTAGACACAGCGTAATAAGTTGGAGAACTAGAAGACACTTTAAATGATCCAGAGTATTCACAACACAGAGACTGTGAAACAGTGAACGAGACAAAAGGACAGAGTGAAAAGGACTAACTGATTAATCTGACAGAAGTTCCAGAGGAGAGAGGAGAGCCAGACAGAGGCAGTGTTTGAAGATATATGGCTAAGACTTTTCCTGAATTGATAAAAGACAACAATTTACAGATTCGAAAAGCTCAGTGAATCTTAAACAGGATAAGTAAAAGTAAATCCACACCTTGGCACAACGTAGTGAAACACCAGTGAGGAGGAGATCCTAAGAGCATAAAGAGAAAAAATAACAGCTAACACTTTAATAGCACTGAAAATGTGCCACCACTCCTGTGAATGTTTTCCATTAGCTCATTTAATCCTCACCAAAACCCTATAGGCTAGGTACTGCTACTATTATTGTCCCCATTTTACAGAAGAGGAAACTGAGGCACACAGGTTAATCAGCTTGTCCAGTGTCTCACAGCTACCAGACCAAAGAACCGGGATTTAAAGCCAGGCAGTCTGATTCTAGAGGCCACACCTTTAACCATAGGCATAAATGCTTCTCTCCAAGACATTTTTAGCTACAAAGGAATGGCAATTAGACTAACAGCTAATTTCTCAATAGTCACAATGGAAGGCAAAACAGAGTAGAATAATATTTTCAATGCGCTTAAAGCAATGTGCTTAAAGTCAACTGGGGACCCATACAAAATATTTTTTGAGAATGAGGATCAAACAAAGGTATCCTAGAGAAAACCAAGAGAATTATTGTTATCCTTGATAATTTTATTTTTCTCAGGAAGCAAAATGTTTTTTTAAAATTTATTTATTTGAGTGAGAGAGAGCACGGGGGTGGGGAGGGGCAGAGGGAGAGAGACAAGCAGACTCCCCGCTGAGCAGGGAGCTTGACATGGGGCTCCATCCGGGCGACCCCGGGATCATGATCTGAGCCAAAGGCAGACACTTAACTGACTGAGCCACCCAGGCACCCCACAAGAAACGAAATGTTAAAGGATGAACTTGAGGCAGAAGAAAGGAAATAATACCTGAGAGAAAAGCTGAGATGCAAGGAGGAATTTTGAGCAAAGAAAATAACAAATATGTTGTTAAATCTAAACGAACATTGATCATATGAAACTGTAACAGTGTGTAATTGGGGGGTTAAAAAATAAGATAGGAGCGGGCGCCTGGGTGGCTCAGTCGTTAAGCGTCTGCCTTCGGCTCACGTCATGATCCCAGGGTCCTGGGATCGAGTCCCGCATCGGGCTCCCTGCTTGGCGGGAAGCCTGCTTCTCCCTCTCCCACTCCCACTCCCCCTGCTTGTGTTCCTGCTCTCGCTATCTCTCTCTCTGTCAAATAAATAAATAAAATCTTTAAAAAAAAAAAAGATAGGAGCAATTTACCGGATAACAGCACATATATTGGGAAGGTGTATTTAAAGCAATTAAATGTAATTAACTGCATTTAATTAAAGCATTCCAGGATCCTTATATCATTTCAGAGGCAAATAACAGTAGTTAACTACCTTTAAACTTTGACAAGTTAGGTATTCATTTTAAAATTTCCAAAATTGGGACCCCTGGGTGGCTCAGTTGGTTAGGCGGCTGCCTTTGGTTCAGGTCATGATCCCAGGGTCCTGGGATCAAGTCCTGTATCGGGAGCCTGCTTCTCCCTCTCCCTCTGTCTGCTGCTCCCCCTGCTTGTGCTCTCTCTGTCTCTCTCTCTCTGACAAATAAATAAAATCTTTAAAAAAATAAAATAAAATTTCCAAAATCACACCAAAAGAACATAAACAGGGCATAGAAAATTCCAAACTACTAGAGGGGTAAAAAGGAATAAGGAAAAAAAATCAATCTAAAGGGAGGCAATAAAAGAGGGGCAAGTATAGAAAAGGCAGAAAATATATGCAAAGCACAAAATAAGACAGTAGGAATAGATTCAAATAAATTAGTAGCTACAACAAATGAAAATGAACTAATCCTTGAGATAAATACAAAAAATCAGACCTTTAAAAAAGAAAACCTAATTAAAGAATATTTATAAGACCCACCTCTAAAATACAAAAATGCAAAAAAGAGTATAAGAAAAAAATACAATAATATGTGAACAGGCAACTACCAAATGAAACAAAGCTTTGTAGCTATATTAATATCTGACAAAACAGACTACAAGGAAAAAAACTAGGAGCAAAGACCTCACTACATAAAGACGAGCAGTTTCACCAGGAACCTATCACAACTCTAAACATATAAGCATCTAATAACATAATCTCAAGAAATATAAAGCAAAAAGTGACAAAACTGCAAGAAAAAAAAAATCCACCATTATAGCAAGAAATGTTCATGTATCTCCCTAACTGTTGATCAATCTGGCTGACAAAACAGTAAAGATTAAAAAAAGATTTTATAAAAACTATTTATTTAAAAAATTTTTTTTAAAAGATTTTATTTATTTGGGGCACCTGGGTGGCTCAGTCAGTTAAGCGTCTGCCTTCAGCTCAGGTCATGATCTCAGGGTCCTGGGATCCAGCCCACATTGGGCTCCCTGCTCAGCAGAGAGCCTGCTTCTCCCTCTCCCTCTGCCTGCCGCTCCCCGTTTGTGCTCACTCTCTCCCTCTTTCTGTCAAGTAAATAAATAAAATCTTTTTATTATTTATGTGCAAGAGAGCACAAGCAGGGGGAGTGGCACAGGGAGAGGAAGAAGCAAACTCCCTGCTGAGCAGGCAGCCCGATGCGGGGCTCAAACCCAGGACCCTGAGATCATGACCTGAGCTGAAGGCAGACACTTAACTGACTGAGCCACCCAGGTGCCCCCTGATAAAAACAATTTAAAAACTTCATCTGTGTACATATATGGAACACTTTTCCTAACAAATAGAAAATACATATTCTTTTCAAGGATACATGTGACAGATAAAATTAAGTCTGGACCATAAAGCAGATCTCAACAAATTTCAAAAGATTAGTACTTTTTTTTTTTTTTAAAGATTTTATCCATTTATTTGAGAGAGAGAGAATGAGAGACAGATAGCAAGAGAGGGAAGAGGGTCAGAGGGAGAAGCAGACCCCCC